TCTATGCTATGTCATTTATGCCATGTCATCACCATGTCACCACCCATGCCTTGTCATCAATTCCATGTCATTCAGTAATTGCATGTTTAGGTTCATTAATTTAGAATGCATGTCATATTAGCATAGTTTATGTTAATTTATGCTCGTCATTAGAATAGATCATGTCACATGTCATTTGAGTAACGAATCATGCATGTTTAATCTAGATTACAATTTTACATAGTTAGTTTTTATCAATAAAGGAAAACCCAAACAAGAGAATCAATTAGAATTGTTAATTATTTAGTAAATCATGGTTAGGCTAGAAATGGTATCTTAGTACTTTACTTAGAAAATCATTTAACTCGAGGTGTTTTAATTGTTTCTTTATTTCTAGTTGTTTATTTATTTGAATGTGTTGATTATTGATTGTTACTTTAATGATTGCATACTCGCATTATCACCCCTTATATCTTAGTGTCTAGGTTTAAAATTATTCCAAGTTGCATACAAAATATTTTTTGAAAATAAAAGAGAAAGGTACCGGAAGGGTGTTAGATTAATTTAGCGTAATCAAGTCTCCGTATCCATGATATCTCTAGTTCTCAGAAGTAAAGTATTCTTCCACACTTCACTTAGGTGTCTGATCAACCCACCATAAATAGATTAGTGGTAACTACTGAATAAATTGATTTTGCATGTTGATAAAAACTCGAAAGTCGTGATTGGTATGGACTTGGGAGGACCCGAGCTAAGTCTTTAGGCTTAGTATTCCATTAGCCATCCCCTAGGATGGTTCACCCCGAGGGAATGTCGCACCAGTTTGGCGGCTCCGTTGGGAATTTGAATTAAAATTCTTAGTAGATTTAGGCCGAACTTTCTCTTTTTCAAAAATATTTTTGTTTGGCAGTATGGAAACAAGATATGTCCCTAACATCGTGTTAAATGTACTTGCAAATTTGGAGTTATAAGGGATAGAGTGTTTGCTAACCCTTTGTCTTATAGGAAAGCGTGAGAATAAATGGTTTACATTTGAGAAGGACATGATTTCAAACATTGTGTTAAATGTTCATGTACATTGTCATGCATACTTTTAATGCTTTAGAACTATACTATTGCACACACAACCTCCTGCCAAACCTAGCCACATGGGATATTTAGGATGGTATTGAGAATGATATGACTTCGAACACAGACACGCATAGTTTAGGTTTCTTTCTCAATCCCGAACATTTCTTTTTTGGTGTCAAAAGTTCATACCTTTGTCCGCAGGCACTTGTGGCGACTGGCTATCCTTTTGACTAAATCGGAGCTAAAAGGATGTGGCTTTAGTATGCAAGCAAGCTGCTGGTAAGATCATCCTCTTAGCCCCACTTTGTCAAGCCATTTAGTTAGAAATTGAACCCCACGTCTCATGTGCATGTCAATGTGATGCCTTTTCTCCTTGATTAAGTAATTCTTCTATCCTTTCACTATGCAATTTGCTTATTTTGTCATGTTTTTATTCCGGTCCATGACAAAAGGCCAATCGTGTGTCTTGGTCTATATACAATTTGGAGATTTGACATTTGACTCATTATCGCTCCCAAGATTTAGGTCAAAATGTGGTAGAATAAGTTAGACAAAGATGGCCATGACTTTGTGGAGTCCAAGCTTGGCTGGCTCCTCCCTTTTCTTGACATCAACATTAAATGTGGTCTCATGCAAGCACTACCACAATTCCGGTGTCCTAAGACATTGTCTTCATATTCGGTAAGCATGAGCTAACTTCGACTTTAGATGAATATAGCATTGCCATTAAAAAACGTTTGGAATCCGAATTAGTTGGTCTGCATATCGGAATAGAGCCTATGTCAATCCTATTTGATTTCTTAAAAATTAAAGAGGATAAAATGAGAAGAATTTTGAAGGATAACTGCAATACATGCCTACTCTCTTTCCTAACTGAATGTTTCTCAAATTTTTTGACATTTCAAATGAGGAAGATCTTTCTCTCAGCTTTTTTTGGATTTATAGTTTTCCCTCACCGTAAGAATGCTATTAATCCTTCGATTCCTTGGGTAGTCAAACAAGTATGTGCTGGGTTGAATTTTTTTAACACTATTTTAGCTAAAGCATTCTTATCTCTCACTTGATTCAAAGAAGATGGAAAAAAGATTTCTCATGCTACACCTGAACTCTTGCAAATTGGGTTCTTTTCTCATATAAATGGGTTTGGTATTCCCATGAATATAAATGAAGTGAATCATTCTAATCACCCAATCAAAAAGTTTGAAACCTGAAAAGACAACACACCAGACTTGTCTTATTCTAAATGGATAGCTTTTCTAAGAGATCCGAGTCCCAAAGGTTTCCCATGGCATGCTAAATGGTTTCTAGTCAGGTTTATTCGCAAGCATCACGACTACAAGGTTGATGTCCATCTCATCGATCTAGGTTGGAATGAGTGCCGCCTACAAAAGCTAGTTTGGCTTCAGGATGAATTAGAGGGGAAAGAAAAGATCTACCATGCCTCGACTCATTACATTTGTTGAAATCAGATTTCGGTGATACCTGAGGTGACCATGAAACCCATCAATAGAGCAGAGATTAAGCGCCTCAAGAGGAAAGCAAAACAAGCCCAAAAGTGTGCTATGCTATTGGCTCAAGAAAATAAGCGGTTGCATTGGAAAAAAGAACGAAAAGAAAAAAGAAAGAAAGAAAAGAAAGGAAAAAAGAAAGAAAAGGAAAAAATAAAATTATTTGAAATAAAAAATACTGACTGTGCATACTGACTAAGCCTCCAGCGAGCCAAATTTACTTCAGAAATTAATAAAAAAAATATCACGTCAGATTTCCGGCCAAACTGACCAATTTGCCACTTAAGTGATCGTTTTTCAAAAAGTTTGGCACTTAAGTGATCCGGCGGAAACTTTTGGCACTAAAGTGATTGCCGTACACAAATTTTGGTACTTGTAGTGTCCTTGTTCCGAAATTAGGCCAACCAAAAAAGGAGAATTAGTGGAGGGGTTGGCCCATTTCCTAAGTGACTGTTGACATAGAAAAGCACCAAAAGCTATGTAGGAATTGTAGATTAATGTTGTAACTATTTACACATCCTCCGGGGGTGCTTTTTCATGAATGATTTTAGATATGTTGGTCTCAAATTTACGAGGCAAATAGGCAACAACTTTCCGGGTGACTTTTACCCCAAAAAAAAAAAATAAAAGGAGCTTAATAAATAGCTGAATTCTCAAGCATATCATCCACACACACCGAAAAAAAAAAACTGGTGATGACAGTAAAGAAAATGCGATGAAATATTTTGATTGATTATTAAAAGCATCGTATCTTTATAATTTAATTTTAAAAATAAACGATTGCGCATTTAATTTGGAAAAAAGAAAAGAAAAAGGGAAAAAATCACTGGAAGATGACGTTAACAAAAAAGACATAGGAAAGGTCACTTTTCCGCGGGCGTTGGAGCAAATAGGAATGAAACTACTATAATATCGATGATCACGGTAAAGAAAATGCGACGGAATAATTTGATTAATTATTAAACATACCGTATTTTTATAAATTTAATGTTAAAAATAAACGATTGCCCATTCAATTTAAAAAAAGAAAAGAAAAAGGGAAAAGATCACTAGAAGATGACGTTAACAAAAAAAAAACCTAGGAAAGGGCACTTTTCCGACAGGCGGTGGAGCAAATAGGAATGAAAGTACTATAAAACTATTTCGATGTGGAAGGATTCGCACAAGCATTTGACCAATGCAATGGCTTTTCAACAACATCCTTCCATGCAATGTTGCGTTATACGAGACAACGAATCTTTTAATGAACATAACCTCCTCTTTTGAGATTGAATATTTCATTTTCCTCAGTTTCCACACGTTAATATTTTTAATATATATATGTATATGTATTATTGTTGAATTAACCATGTGACAACTTATTATTTATATAGAAAATTTAAGTCTTTCCTCACAAGTAATTAAGTCTTTCCAACTCCTCACAAGTACGTAAAAATATGGTTGAAACTCATAAACAATCATATAACGATAAGAAAAGTACATGAATAAATATAACTCAACGGAATTTTCTTGACTCTAATACTACGTTTTAAGTGAGTGCATGGTGAATTTATCCAAAGGGGAGGTTTTGTGGTATTGCTAACAGAAAGGTACTATACAAACAAGCCATTGCCTACCTTCAGCTATCTTATAAGAGACAGTATAAAGTCCTAACAGCGAGTAATATTATGTTTGCATTTTTCTATTTCTCTCTACACTTTAAAGTGTGACATTTCATGAATTAACTCACTCGAGGTATTGTCCGCTTTGACCTATCCCATATCGAGCCTCACGGTTTTATCCTTTGGCATACATGTAGACACTTTATCTGGAGGTTACCTATCATGGTAGTGTCCTAGCGTGAGCACGCTTAACTTTGAAGTTCCAAAGCAAAACTTGCCATTACATTAAAAGGTGCATCCTTAAATTAATTCTAGCTTTCACAAATATATCTCAAGCACGCTCTCCTCCTATTCAACGTGCAATTCGATTCATTCATACCCCATTCACCATCCTAGAAGCCTGCTAGGAGCCACTCCTTGTCCAAGCCCTCTGACCTCAGTGACCACTCCCCGCCTTTATCAGACCGGGTCGTTACTTAATGTGCCTTTAACTTTTGATTTTAGCAGTAGCTTTTGGGGATTTATAATGTTTTCGATGAACATTCAGTGTAAATTTTTTACCCTTTTAATATCATGATTGCTTTACATCCATTTAAAATAAATTTAGGTAATTTTTTTCCTGTTGAAGGAAAAAAATGTTGGCAAATTCTCTATGGAATATGCATGTACCAGGTCATATATGATTGTGTGTACAGGAAAATAAGAAATAAAACATTCTTTTTCAATTTAGAGGAGAGAGAGAGAGAGAGACAGAGAGAGACAGAGAGAGAGAGAGCGCGCATATGCATATGCTTTCAGACGAACCAATGAAGCATTTCCGACGTGAAGTGGGATTCATATGTGTATTCCATTCTGCTGCTTAACCAATGGATTCGCCCAACACTCACGTCCCATCCCAGATCATGCTCCCACAAAACCCAGAAAAGAAATTTATGTTTCATTCTTTTCCTGATTGTGTTTTACTTTTTTTTCCTGCATTTTCTCTTTGCTCCTACACATGCCCCCTTCAATCCCACGTCATAAAACCCCATCATATGCCTATTTAAGCCTCAACGTCCTCTCCTTCTCCTTCATTTCAAAATCCCGTCTTCATTTATTTGAAGAAGAAGAGGAATAGATCAAAGAGCTCCGTTTGCATCAAATTCAGCTTAGAGGTGCTTCATTCTACTTCATGCTTCATTTACTGCTTTCTTTCTCTCTTCTTGGTTTGCCGTCTTTAACTCTCTCCCTTCTTTTTTGTTTTCCGCCTCATTTTTGGGGCAACCATAATAAAGTAGGTCTCTTTTTGTTATATCACATGCAACACGTATACTCTCCCCGCAAATCAGCTGCCGACAGTTTCAGTTTCTCTTTCATCGTCATCAAAATTCATATCTCGCTCTTTTCATGACCATTTCCCGGAAAATCAAACGCAAGCGACAATCCTTTTTCTTTACGTTAGCATATGAATGTCGGTACCGCGTTCTTGGTTAATTCTTGCTTTTTATTCTTTCATGGACGGAGATAGAGCGAGGTCGGAGAGCACCACTGTTTCTGAAAAGAAAGAAGGATGGGCGAGGCTGGAGAGGAGTCGAAGAAGCTGCAAAAGAGCTATTTCGACGTGGTGGGGTTGTGTTGCTCGTCGGAGATTCCACTGGTCGAAAACGTTCTCGGACAATTCGACGGTGTCAAGGACGTTTCGGTTATCGTGGCTTCAAGAACCGTCATTGTCGTCCACGACCACCTCCTCGTTTCTCAGACACAAATCGGTAAAATAGAAAATCACCCCAACTCACTCTCCTTTTCATTTCTCTAAAGGCAAGAGAGATAGTAGCCGAGATCATAATCTTTGTCGGACGACCGTCCCTAAAAGTATAGGATGCTCTTGTGCTATTCATATAGCCCAATTTGGTTAGCCTGGTGGGTCACGAGTTAGTAAAATATGTAAACTTTTCCATGTCACAAATATAATTCATCGAAATGTAAATTTTAACTTGGTAGGCTCTTGTTTTTGTGACCTAAGAAATATACTTTCTCCAAGGTCTTATGGGACCCAAAAAACTAAAATAAGAAAAGAAAGAAGAAAGGAAAAGGTGGGGCCAAAAGCTGAGTCGGGTCGATGACAAGTCCAAAAGCGTGACCGCCTCACGGTGCAACATTATTATGTGCTAGGGTTTTCATATGTGTTTAGGCTGCTAAATCTGCTGTTCTTGTTTGCATGATTCTATACCTATCTTTGTGTTTGTTTTTCTTTTACAAGATCAGAATAAGTTCTGCTCGCATTCAGATTCGCCTATTTGCAATTGTTCTTTTGGGTGGGAAGCACTTTATCTTTGGTATCTTTACCTAACGCACTCCCCACATTCTTTATCCCTATAGAGTAATAAAAGGTATCAACAAGATTTTCTGGTACTGATATAAGTGCAAAAAGATCATGAAACCGCTTCGAATTTTTACTGTCTAAGACTCGGTGAATTATAGCGATATCGGATTTCGACCCTCGTGATTCTTGCATTAATGGTTTTGTTTCTTGTGCTATTCGTGAAACGAGTTTATATCGTCCTTATGAACCGTTTTCTTCTTCTTCTTTTTTGATCTTTTTGTGCGTGCTTCTTGGAAATTCAGTGCCGAGGTTGAGTGAAATATGCGATCCTCGTGGTAATGCCTAATTTAGGTGATGAGTTGCGTTCTAAGATCACCTTCATGTGATATGTGTGTACCTGTATGTTTGGTTGGAAAGAGCAAAAGGACAATTTCAGATCACATTTTGCAACATATATGTCTCTTCTCCATAAAATATAAAAGCCAAAGCTACTTTTTAGTGACATGAAACGGTGCACTGCACTCCACTTTTTACGGCAAAAGTAAGTATATTTATATGTATGTATGTGTTTTAAAGGTGAACTTTCTTGTCATGAAAAAAATGAAAAGAAAAAAAATCAAAGGGCGATAATATGTCGATTCTAGATATGATATTCGTTTTTTACTCCGTTTTCTTCTAGCTGATTCTCATGCATACGAAATAACTCTTCTCCTTTTAATTTATTCTCTGTGCCCCTAACGACAGTGAACGCACTAAATCAAGCAAGGTTGGAAGCAAATGTGAAGGTCTATGGGGAGATAAACCATCACAAGAAATGGCCAAGTCCTTACGCGATCGCTTCTGGAATATTACTTCTGTTATCTTTCTTCAAATTCGTCTACCATCCCTTCCAATGGCTGGCCCTTGGTGCCGTCGCCGCCGGCATATTCCCGGTGATTTTGAAAGGCTTCGCGGCTCTGCGCAATTCCCGGATCGACATCAACATCCTTGTTTTGGTCGCAGGTGAGTAGACACGTATATCACAACCGCCACCTCTTTAATGGATGTTGCTTTGTTGACTCAGGTTGATGTAATTGAACAATTTGGAAAAGGAAGCCAAATCCATAAACTCACAAATTATCAGTAAAAAGATTTTTTTTTCCGTAAGGAGTAACCTTAATGGGAAAAGAAATTATTACTTGCATAGTCGCCATATATAGGCATATTCATGTAATCCACCGATGTGAAAATTTCAACTAAATTGAGATCATTAATCAGGTAACGACCACGGAAATGGAACACCAGCCCCATTCATTTAATTTTCACTTCTTTTCCATTATAAATTCACATAAAGTGTTCGAGTAATTGAAATATGCGCCAAGTGGTGATTATTGTCATAGACATAATGAGCTAGGCCTCATGGTCCGCGTGAATCGCCAGGAGGAACATATGTAAAATTTAGTGAATTAGTGAAAACTTGAATTATTCTTTTTGGTCGCCGTTATGATTGCAATAGCCAAGCTTATCAATCACTTCAGGAAAATTTAATCTGACTTCTAATGTGGAATCGGTAGCTGGACCAACATCTTCGTCAGAGAATCACTTCCGCCCATTGAAATGCCCTTTTAACAAAACGAAAGAAAAAAATCAGCAGAGGAGCAAACGTCCTTCCGCGTTACCGAAGCAAATCTTATTTGCAAATCTAAGAGCCAGGATTTCCTCTAAAAACTTTTTGACAGGTAGCGACAAAAATGCCTTCCATGCTGTTCAGCGAAGTGGAATCCACCGAGCCTTCTGCCAGGAAGAAAAAAAGAGAGAGTACGAATTCGACTTGAAAAACAAACGAGTGGTTGAGATGCAATCACTTATGAATTATGTTCCTCTTTTTTCTCGGAAAGTTAGCTTTGGGAAATAAGAAGTGTTTTCCGATCTGGCAAAAGCACGGAGAAATGACTTTTTAAGTTATTTAAACAAAAGAATACTCGAAAACAAGGCAGGAGGAGGTCCAAAATATTCTCATCCAAAGCATGTGAGGCTCATAAATACAAGTTTTCAAGTGCCTTCCCTTCCCTTTTTCCAAATGTTCGTATTCCTCACAATATTCATAGGACGGGCTGGTGCCGTTCCAATTTCCATATATGTCACGATTCGATAAAATTCTAAAATTGGGGTCGTAGACGAAGCTCGTGAGCCTCAAGACCTTGATTCGTTCGAATGAAATTAGGCATGTCCGATGGAAGATCGATAGAGGTTAAAATAATATTGTATTAATCATATGCTCATTTTTAGGTTAATTAATCATATATTAAATCACACGAATGGGAGAAGAGGATCTGCATGAAAGTAATAGCAATAGTTGGAGTTAGGTTTTTGGATAGTTAAAATGATCTGGAGTCAGCTGCAAATCTCACATTTCAACGGTTTGACAGTGATTGGGACGATTGCGATGCGAGATTATTTGGAGGCTGGCACCATTGTGTTCTTGTTCACCAGTGCTGAATGGCTCGAGTCCAGGGCAAGCCACAAGGTATACATTTTCTATACTTTCTCTTGAATTTTCATTGGAAGCTTGTGCTTGTCCAGGAGTAAATTATCATCAAAAGACGTCTAGGGTTTGCGCTTGAACTATTGCTGCTCCCGACAGGAGTGAGATGGCGATTATTGGTCCTCATGGAATCTATGCTTTAGATAATTGCCAATTATAATCATCACTTACGCAACAAAAAAAAATAATCTTCATAATCAGGTCCCACCACTAATATAAATTAAAAAAAAAAGCGAAGTCAAAAGGTCAGCATAAACATAAAAAAAAAGGTGGACCAGAATTTGTGACTGGACTGAAAACAACCATGCTTGATTTTTTTTTTTTTTTTTTATTTTTTTTTTTGGTCAAACCAACCATGCTTGATGAAAAGTGTCTTGAATGGATGAAAATGGAGAAGGAAAATCTTTAAGGATTTTTAACCTCCGAAGGAGGACTACCAATATAAATCTTTTTCTCGTGTAAGACATAAAAAGTTTGATTTTCACGGACTGTCCAAACTGCACTATTGGTGCTTCTCAAAAAGGCTACTTTACAATCAAAATACACCGTTTGAATGCACATATATGTGCGGCATTCATGTTAATCGAGATCAAACTTTCTGGACACAATGAAAGTCGAATCCTGTTGAACCATTTAGGGATTTTATTGTGAATATTTTGCCAGACGTCTTGGAGATGATGCAATGTCTCTATACTATTAATGATGATTTATACGAAATTATTTCGTTGACCACTATTCCTTACTTTTGAATAAATTTCATCCCCCAAGAATTATTTTTTACTTTGGAATAAGTAGGACTAAATTGCTAACGAACTTATGTGATCCATCTACCCAGGCAAATGCTGAAATGTCAGCTTTGATGAGCATAGCTCCCCGAACAGCAGAGATAGCCGAAACAGGAGACGTTGTGAATGTTGATGAAATCAAACTCAACACCGTTGTAGCCGTGAAGGCTGGTGAGGTCATACCCATAGATGGTGTTGTTGTGGACGGCAAATCTGAAGTGGATGAGAGAACTTTGACAGGAGAGTCATTCCCTGTTTCCAAGCATAAAGACTCTTCTGTTTGGGCTGGAACAATCAACTTGAATGGTAATTAGACACTCTTCCTCAGTCATGTCAATTCGAAATGCTTCAACGAGAATGCTAAAAAAAGGACTTAAGAATTTAAATTCTGTTGTAGGTTACATCAGCGTGAAAACAACTGCTCTTGCTGAAGACTGTGTAGTGGCCAAAATGGCAAAGCTTGTTGAGGAGGCTCAGAACAAGAAATCAAGAACACAGAGATTCATTGACAGATGTGCACAGTTTTACACGCCAGGTTAGTTTCTGTCAATTGGTTTCTGTCATTTTACCATCTTAGGGATTGATTGGGAGTAGGAGCTAGCAAATCTTCAATCTCAACTTGGTTTCTGTCTACTATCTGCAGCGGTATTAGTTATATCCATTGGTTTCGCCGTGATTCCTGTGGCATTACAAGTCCATAACCGAGACCACTGGTTTCATCTGGCATTGGTGGTATTAGTTAGTGCATGCCCCTGTGCACTAGTCCTCTCCACTCCTGTTGCCACTTTCTGTGCCCTCACAAAGGCAGCGAAATCCGGTCTTTTGATCAAAGGGGGTGACTATCTTGAAATCCTTGCTAAAATCAGGAACCTGGCTTTCGACAAAACTGGCACAATCACGAGAGGTGAATTCATGGTGGAGGACTTCGGGCCCCTCGATGAACGCATAAGCATCAAAACTTTGCTTTATTGGTAAGGATCCTGGACTCCTGGTCCTTGAAATTAGCTCACTGCAGTCTTAAACTTATACGCGATAGATGCAAATCATCTTTAGGGTATCAAGCATTGAGAGCAAGTCAAGCCATCCAATGGCTGCTCCTCTGGTAGGGTATGGGAGGTCATTTTCCATAGAGCCGAAGCCCGAAGATGTGGACAATTTTCAAAATTTTCCTGGTGAAGGAGTTTATGGCAAGATTGATGGGAACGATATATTCATAGGGAACAGGAAGATTGCCCTAAGAGCTGGTTGCAAAACAGGTGAAGCATTCATATTCCAAAGTCCTAACCAATGTGCTTATTCAGAATAATTCGGGAACCATACAAGTGCTCCATTTTAATTCGCGCCGCCCCTCTTTTTGGGGATTCGATGCTTCTGGGGTTTATTGAATTCCGTAAGTAATTATGCATTTGCAGTTCCAAGCATAGAAGGCCTTACTGGGGAAGGAAAAACTATGGGGTACGTGTTCTGCGGGGCAGAACCTGTCGGGATTTTCGCTCTCTCTGATGCATGCCGAACCGGAGCTCGGGAAGCTATAAAGGCGCTCAAGTCATTGAAGATTAAAACAGCAATGCTTACAGGAGATAGCCAGGCCTCGGCAATGCATGCACAGAATCAGGTGCGACTCTATTTCTTCTAGTTTCTGTTTCCCTTTGACCTGAATGTCATTTTATTACGTCGCAGATAGTTGCTATCTGATGTCTTCTATTTCCTCGATTTGTTAAGTAGGAATTGTGGTGAACTTGACCTAGCAGTTGACATCATTTCATTCTCTGAGCAGCTAGGTCATGCTCTGGATGTAGTCCACGCAGAACTTCTACCCGAAGATAAAGCAAAAATCATCAAACAGCTCAAGGAGGATGCGCCAACAGCAATGGTAGGGGATGGCATAAATGACGCCCCTGCATTGGCTACTGCCGATATCGGTATTTCAATGGGTGTTTCCGGTTCCGCTCTTGCAACGGAGACGGGGCATGTGATTCTCATGTCCAATGATATCAGAAAAATACCAAAGGCGATCATGCTTGCCAGGAGAGCGCACAGGAAGGTGGTTGAGAATGTAATTCTGTCGATAACCACTAAGGTTGCCATCCTCGCATTGGCCTTTGCAGGCCACCCGCTTGTTTGGGCAGCAGTTCTCACCGACACTGGGACATGCCTGGTGGTGATCCTAAACAGCATGCTCTTGTTAAGACAAAGCCATGAGCACCGGAAAAAGTGTTGTAAATCTTCTGCAGTGCGAGAAAGAGAAGGACGCAATGTCCACAAGACGAACACATCCCATAGCCACCATAACTGTTGCTCTTCTAAAGTGGAGACGAAAGTTTATGAGACTGAACATGGTTGTGGCAAAGTCTGCGCTTCAAAATGCCAATCGAGTCTTTCTAATTCAGGCTTGTGTGGTAAGGGTGTGGCTAAGAAGCATTGCAACAACGGGGACAACTGCAGAGGTTCAGCTGCAACACATCATCAAGATCATGGAAGCAATACCGGCAATAACAACATGTCCCATGGACATCACCATTGCAGCTATGAAAGCAAACCGTGTGCTTCGCAGCAGAGGTGTGCCGTTAACTGTCATTCTACCAATTCAAGTGTTAGTTTGTGTGCAAATAGAGAGCTTTCCAACTCAACGAACAGACAAGTTCCTGAAGTACGTAACGATGCACATGCCGAGCAGTGTGGCCAGATGTGCAATGATCATAACCATGGCCGCTCTAATTCGATTTCTTCAACTGCTTGCTCTGATAACAAGTGCACAAATGAGATTCAGAAGCAAGGAACTTGTGCATTTGACGATCACAAAGACCAGCATACAGTGGAACACTGTGATCATGGAAGCTGTGAGATGATTACAGGAAGCGAATCGCATGTTATCACGGTTAATTGCGATTCTTCGCAAGAGAAGATTAAAGAGTGCCATGGGATGCATTGTAGTGGCGAAAATCATGACATCAAGGAAGGCCTAGGCAACCCTAGTGAAGGTAGATCACACACTCATGCTTCTTCAGATATTCATCATCATCATCCAAAGAGTGGCTCGAATTGCTGTCGGCCCCTTTGGCCCGTGATCGACATTGAGACAGGGAAAGATCACGTGGACTCGGGGTCAATACACACATGCACTAATTTGGCAAAGAAAGAGATTGGTGGGTGTTGTAAGAGCTACATGAAGGAATGTTGCGGTAAGCACAGGCATTTAGGACCTGCACTCGGAGGCTGCTTGTCCGAGATCGTCGCTGACTACTAGCAGATCCAATGTAACACAAAATTTCTAGTACGCTGAAAGATTTGCATGCTCCAATCTTAACATTAGACAAAGTTTCTGATTTCTGGGAAATGAAAATTGCACAATTCACCATCTTACATAATCCAAGAATTTTAGCCCAAAGGTAATCAATTTGTCGAGGCCCCTCTTCGTATATATTGGATTAGGCCCACAAGCCTCGGTGCCTTGCACACGTCAACTCATGAAATTGAAGAAAGCTCATAAATTATGTTTTGAAATTACCGTTCAATCTTTCTTTTCTTTTCTCTGTCTTTTATTATTCGACATCATCATTTATTTCTAGAAAAATTCCAAATAACGGCCTGAATTGCTTTCATTTTCTCAAAAGATGGCTCAAAGTGGACATTTTTTCAAATAAAGACATGAAATGGTTATGTTATTCTTAAACCTCATTGACCGGCCAAATCTTTCGACTAATCAAGAACAATTTCATCCAAAGATAAACTTTCTTTTCTTCTCTTGTTCATCTTTAAGCTCAAACTTCGCCGTTAGTCACCATTTAGGTTTTTCTCAGCCCTTATGGTTCTTCCTTTCATCTGAATCTTCGATTTTCCTTCTCAAGCGACGCTAACTTCTCTCTCGCTGGAAGCCGCTAGAGGATTTTGGAGGAAATCGATTTCCAGAGAACTCTTTTTTGTTTTTGGCTCGTCACCACGCTCAAATCGAGGTAGCTAGATCAATAATGGAGACTGGTTTAGCATCACTCAAAGAGATCCAAAGATTTAGGGTCTCGTCAATTTCTGAACAAAGCAAGCGAAAGAGACTAGAGGCGCTGGGACTAAGATGTCCATGTCTGTAAGAGAGATCGCGGCCAGCCAATAGCTTTGTCATAGACCGTCGCACCTCCTCGCAGCTTCCTCGACCGTATCATGCGTGCCCAGCCACAACCGCCTATGCAGCGTCGATTCCCAAATCTCCTTCGAACATTTCCATGCTACCTCATCATTGGGTGCTCACCGGGTGGCATCGACCACACCATGTCCGAGTCTTCATCGCTAGGTAGTACGCCACCAGCATCACCAGCGCCGCGACCACGTGCACGAGCACTAGCCTGGCCATCGCGATGCCAAGGAGCAAATTCTCCCTCAGCAGGAGCTTGCTGCGGTCCATGCTGCGGTCCATGCTGCTGTAGGCATCACAGCAGATGTATGCGGTGAACCGCTTCTCGAGCTCGGCTAGGTTCTGCGGCATGATTGCAGAGGTCTCAGCCTAAGGCTCTGGCTTGAGGAGGGGGCAATCGTCCTTGTCGGCGGGGGCGGGGGATGGGGCAGGGCAGTGGGGGAGAGGTCTTTGAGCTTGCTTTCCATGGCAGAGGGGGAGATTCTACTGATGCAGTGGGCAGTGTTTCAATGGAATCGGAGCGGTGGTGGTGGTGATTGCATTGTGGAGGAGGAAGAGAGGAGTGCTTGTAGATCTGGTAAATCTAGTGTCATGGTTTTGCGTTGCCAGCGTTAAGGTTTCATCTTGCTGGACGAAGAAGATGATGAACAGGGAAGAAGAAAAAGAAAAAAAAAATCTTTGGACAAAAATACCCTTAATCAATTGGAATATTTGGCCAGTGAGATCAAGCTCTTATTTGAAACTACCATGGCCACTTCAGGCTTTTATTTGAAACAATGCCCACTCAACGACTTTGAGCCCTCTTTTAAAAAAAGGGATATGTTCATTAGAAGTCCTAAAACTTGTCACCAAAGTACAATTGAATCATAAAACTTGCAAAAAGTGCAATCAAGTCTCAAAACCTATCAAATTGGTTCAAATGAATCCTAAAGTTAACACCGTCAAACTTATTAACGGAAAATACTGACATGACGCTGACGTGGCTTATTTTAATATTTTATCTCTCCTATGTGGCGATGACGTGGCCAAAACGATGTCGTTTTGGCCCAAATTTGATTTTTAATGCTACTTTTATTTGAATTAAATTTAAAAAATAAGATATAATTAAACAAAAAAAAAAAGGAAGGAAGAGGAGGAGGACAGGCAGGGAAGAAGGGCTTGCCCTTCCAGCTGCCGCAGGCATCCCACCATCGCCGGGAGGGGCCGGCAAGGGTGGGGGGACGGCAGGGTCGAGGCCCGGCGACCCTCGCCGACGGCAGGAGAGGGCGTGCGGGCCCTCCCCCAGATTGGGCGAGGGGCGCAGGCCCTTTCCCAGACCTGGCCGAGGGTCGCCAGTGGCCGCCGACCCTCGCCAGTCGCCGGCCCCTGGCCAGGGCTCGACGGTAGCAGGGAGGGCAAGCCCTCCCTCCCCGCCTATCCTCCTCCTCCCCTTTTATTTTTTTTATTTTAGCTTATTTTTTAAATTTAATTTAAATAAAAATTAATACTAAAATAATGATTAAAAAAAGCCACGTCATCGCCACGTAGAATATAAAAAATAAAAAATAAAAAAAGCCACGTCAGCATTTCCGTTAGTCAAATTGAACAATGTTAATTTTATGACTAGGTTGAACCAATTTTACAAGTTTTAGAACTCGATTGCACATTTTGCAAGTTTTAGGACCCAATTGCACTTTGGTGACAAGTTTTAGGACTTCTGGTGAACATATCCCTTAAAAATAGGGAAAATGACACAAACAGTCCCTGAACTTTGACTCAATGTGCAATTTGGTCCCTGAACTTTTAATTTGTTCAATGTAGTCCCTGAACTTTAACCTAATGTTCAATTTGGTCCCTGAACTTTTAATTTGTTCAATGTGGTCCCTGAACTTTTAATATGTGTTCAATTTAATCCCTGAACTATTTGAAAATGTTCAATGTAGTCCTTCCATTAATTCAAGTGCAGGGACTATATTGAACATTTTCATATAGTTCAGGGACTAAATTGAACACATATTAAAAATTCAAGGACCACATTGAACAAATTAAAAGTTCAGGGACCAAATTGAATATTAGGTTAAAGTTCAGGGACTACATTGAACAAATTAAAAGTTCAGGGACCAAATTGCACATTGAGTCAAAGTTCAGGGACTATTTGTGTCATTATCCCTTAAAAATATGATGACATTTTAAGCCTTTATTTGGAGTTTTCCCTTCATTTAGGTTAAAGTTCGGGACTACATTGAACAAATTAAAAGTTCGGGGACCAAATTGCACATTGAGTCAAAGTTCGGACTATTTGTGTCATTATCCCTTAAAAATATGATGACATTTTAAGCCTTTATTTGGAGTTTTCCCTTCATTTCTTAAAAGCTTCATGTTTTCAGAGTATGTGTGTGTGTATTTTCACGTCGATTGAAATGGACAAGTCGAAATTACTAAGAACAAGGCCTAATTCAAAAAGAAAACACCAATTTTAGGTTGAATGACAATTTTGGCCCAAACTTTTTTTTGTCCCATAAAAAAGTACTAACATTAGGTCGGGTGACAATTATAGCCTCAACTTTTTTTTATCTCGTAAAAAAGTACCAACTTTCATTTAAATCTCAAATATTGCCCCCATTGACTTAGAACCATTGATTATCCAACTTGACTATTCCACTTCGGTAATAAATCCACGTGGCTTGCTGACTGGATTTAAAGCACTATTCATTATCTTATTTTCTGAGCCACAGCTTGAATAATAGCGATGAAACTATTCATCTCCTTCACTTCATCGGCAAGTCAAAAATAGCTCAAGATGGAATCTCTCTAGCTAGATTTCGTCGTAATATGAAGATGTATACACCCCCCGTCGACAGACGCTATGGACGAGATCCACCAAGCTCACCACTATAACATTTTTTTCTCAAACAATAGTAACTTCAGACAGAGAGTCAACGAGAGGTCAGATTTGGAATAAGGGTGAAAGTTGATGATTTTTTATGAGACAAAAAAAGTTAGGGCCGAAATTGTCAATCGACCTAAAGTTGGTGCCTTTTTACGAGACAAAAAAAAGTTCAGATCAAAATTATCACTCGACCTAAGTTTGTGTTTTTTTTTTTAAATAACCCCCGAGAACAAGGACAAGGTGCAACATACATAAATAAAGAACGAAGAACCGACATTCAAACCAGTGGCTCGAAGCCCTAGCGATCATCAAATAAAGCAAATGTTGTCCATAAAAATCAACAAAATAGACTCGTAATTTCCGTTGAAATGTTCAGTGATTGTGAATAGAGAGCACGTTGAAAGTATAGTGATTCCATGTTAAAAAAAAAAAAAACAAAGAGATAGAGATAGAGAGAGATGCGATGTGAATGCTTCTCATGCCTACAGTGAAATATATAATTAATAAAAAAAAATCGAAGGGGGAGAATCCATTGAACTTGCCCTTTCGTAAGGTTGAAACATGAAGTTGCCACATTATATGCTCGCCTTTATCTGTGGTCGCCTCTCTTGAAGAATATTTAGTAGGGTCCAAACATATATATTAGGAAAAAAAATATCGCAAATGCAAATTAGAGAGCATAAAGAGATTATTCCCCTTTTTAAAGCTTTCTCATTTGTATTCCTTTCGGAAGTTGCGGACGTCAAATTGAAATAGCCATAATGAAAGTATTTTTTTTCCCTTTGACTCCAAAAAAAATTACGACTATTTCCCTCCCACGGATTTTTCCCCTTCTTTCACATATGTATTCAACAGAGATTGATGGAACATCATTAAATAATTGAAAATATCTCATGGAATTCACCCCAACTTTGACCTTGTCCACCATGAAGAGGAACTGGTCTATTTCACTCCGTTCAATTGGACTTCCCACTTAACTACTGCCTTTTGATTTTTGACTTTGTATCTGCTTGTCTAACATATTGTTTACACCATTCTGCCATCACATGAGGTGATTGTGTAATCTATAGATCTCTCTGGATCAATCTCTTCTGAGTTATTCTCACATACGTGTTCCTCAACAAAGATATTTGTGAAAAGAAGCTATTAGAAAAAAAATCGCAATAAGAAATTATCTTCGAGATCTCCTACTAAATGTACCCTTTCCAACCTTATCAGTATGTCATTGACATAAATATGCGAAAGGTGCTCTTTCTTGGTAGAAATATGAACAAGAAATTAAATGTTCAAAAAATTGTTTTTTTTATAATCCGGCGGCACATGCGTGGAAATGCAGATGTTTGGAGGCCCATAAAACACTTTT